GAATGCTTGAATCTATAAATAATTTTTTAAGTGTGTTGTGTTTACTCCCAATATTTATGTTCTAATGTCTATGGTCTTATTTTGTTGAAACCAGAGTCCTTTTTTGCAAAATGAGGGAGGTGGGCAAGAACAATGCTACAATGCTTCCTTCCCAGTTTTTGAGATCTCACTTCATGCAAAGTTATACATGATACTCCCCTAATTAAAACGAGGGAGGGGGTAATGGGGAGAGATCAACCAAAGGACTTGTATGCATGCATATAAGCCAAACCAACGGACACGAAAAACAGGGGGGTGAGAGCATTGGGGGGGGGGAGGTTGGGGGTTAATGGGAAATGAGAACACATTTGTAATACCTTAACCAATAAAGACATTTAAAAAAATAAAAATAAAATGATAGTTACATATTTTCAAGACTGAATTCATATGTTAGAACAAAAACGTATATCTACCCTCTAACCCACCAAAATTCTCATGAAATGACAGGAAAAAGTATTAATGAAAAACATCCTGATAAAACAATAAAGGTCAATAGCATGGGGGTTGCAGAGACCCAGGTAAATGTCAAAAGATAGTTAATATAGGAGGGGCTTGGGACACTCACTTGACAGCTTTCTAAAAAGAAGACAATTTTCTAATAAATGATAATTTTTTTTTAAAATTAGCTTAAGGAGACGTATAGCAGTGTAATAGAACAATGAGCAGTGGGGAAAGGAAAATTTTGTTTTAGGCAAATTGCACCAAATCTTTAGGGATTACAACAGAATCCCACAAGCAAAATGAACACAAAACCCAACTAATAAATATCATGGAAAAATCTTTGATTGATAATAGAACAGATCTATAAAACATCTTGGGAGAAAACTAACACTTTACTGAAGGACAGAAAAGAGAACCAGAGTGTATGTAGAAATATTCTTTTCCTTGGAAGGAAGATTTAATATTACCAAAATGCCAACTCTTCTCAGATAACTCCATAAATAAAAGATAAATCAACACAATATTAACATTTTCTCTTTAATATTGGCACACTAATTCTACAATTGTTGTTAAAGTGAAATTGTGCAAAAATAGATCATATATTTTCAAATGGTGGCTTTCACTCAATTTCACACTTCAAAATATGCTGTAAAATTAAATAATTGGAGCAATTTGGTATTGGCACAAGAATAGATGGATGGATTAATGGAATGCTTAGAGTCCAGTAGCAGATGGGCTATTTATAAAAATTGGTCATGTGTTAAATAGGTCAGAGATGGAAAGATGTTCATATGAATTAGGAATGTATAAGGAAGTTTCTATTATGTTGAAAGAAATGTCTTAAATTGAGGCTGTATATCAATTTTACTCAACAAATGCATCCCAGATAGATTAAGGAAATAAGTATAAAGAGCAAGTAAGTAAGTTAGTGTTGCTATGAAATAATTAAAATGAATTATTTAAAGATCATTCATAAAGAGTAATCATTCAAAACGTTTATGCTGAATTAAATGTAGAAGAAATCAGTTAAACCCTAGCCGGTCTGGCTCAGTGGATAAAGCATCAGTCCGCAGACTGAAGGGTCCCGAGTTTGATTCTGGTCCAGGGTATGTACTTGGGTTGCATGCTCACGCCTCAGCCCCAGTCGGGGTGTGCAGGGGAAGCAACCGATCGATATGCCTCTCTCACATCGATGTTTCCCTCTCTCTAAGAACCATTAGAAAAATATCCTCCCACTTCCTTCCACTCTTTCTAAACATCAATGGAAAAATATCCTCAGGGGAGGATTAACAAAAACAACCACAAAAAATCACTTGGAAAGATTAGAACAAAAATGATAAAAATCTAAACCAGTTCTCCATTCCTGTTGTTCCTCCAGCCCAAGCATAGTCTCGTTATTAAAGAAGCTGAACTGTTTGAGGGTTTGGGGGATGGGTGAAAAAGGTGAAAGAGAGAAATACAAATTGCCAGTTATGAAAAAGTTACAGGGTTGTAAAGTGTGGCATGTTAAATAAAGTCAATAATACTATGCAGCTATGTTTGGTGCCAGATGAGTACTATACTTACTGCTGGGATCAGGTGTGGTAGAGTTGTCTAATCGTTGTGTTGTATGCCAGAAACTAATATGATATTGTATATCAACTATAATTGAAAAAAATAAAATTTAAAAATAAATAGATTAGCTAAAACTAGAAATTAAGAGAACTATGAATGGATCTTTTTTGTTGTTGTTTAATCTGCTTGTCAATCCTTTGATGTAGACATTAATATCCCAACTCTAAAAAGAAAACATTGAATTTCAGATAGTTTAATTGACCTTCATCAGTTAAGGAGCTGTCTCTAAAGCCCATGACATTTTCACCTCACCACTCTGCTTCTTTGCTTCAGTGGTCCCCACATACACTTTGTGGTGTCCATTGGGCCCTCCGGAAGCATGCTACCCTTCGTGTTGGGATGGCTGGGCAAAACCAGCTTTGAGTTTGTAAAATATTCTGTATTATAATTTCTATGTCCACTCTTAAAGCATCTAATCATTTTCAAGCATAAAGCATTTGGAGATAACTATAACATCTTGTCATTTAAAAATAAATATCAAACATATAAAAAACTAGGGATATTATATAAAACTTTTACCAGACTTAGTTCCAAAATTATGAAGAAATGAAATAGGAGAATAAAACAAACACTTGTGGATATTAAGGGAGGAAATGACTGCTCATTTTTTGTTCTTCAGTGATCACTCTTTGGGGAGCCATAAGATATTTCAGAAAGATAAATCCGTTATTCAACTTAATCTGCAGAAAAATAGAGAAGCTCCAGGAAAGTTATCTCGAAAGGTAAGACCTTCTGAATATTGGTTTTAATTTGCAATCTGATCATTTTAAGGACAATATTCCCATCTTTATGGATTATTACCAATTTCTAATTATATAATGTAATTAATATATGTTCATCTGAATAAATTTATTAAAACACAATTAGTTATTTATCTATATGCTTGTTGACAATTTGAAGTGAAGCAATTACATGAACACTTTATTACAACCTCAGTAAAATAATAGATGTATTGGAAAAATTTATAAGAAACTTGTTAAGGTTATCATATTCAAACCATCAGTGAAGCCACTAGAAAGTGAATGTAATAGAAAATGTGAAAAGGAAATCATTAAAGGGAGAGAAGAAAAACAACTCTTTCTATTTGAAAACTGTTTATGTCTGAGTCAACACAGTTTAAAGCAAGGCATATTAATATTCATAATACTAATTATGAATATTAATATTAAAACTACCTAAAAAGGAATTACTGTGCTTTAATGACACAGTTTCATGCTGTTAGATATGAATTTTATTCCCTGTGTGATGTCTTGAGTTACCTCAAACCCAAATTGCACAGTATGCAGTGAACTTTGATATGTTGGCAGTTTTTATCTGTAGAATATTCCAATTACCTGCTTTAAGCAAGAATCCCAGCACCCTGTCATTTACATCAGATAACAGATTTCCAGTGCATAGCTCTTTCTTTTCCTAGTTGGAGGTGTTTCATCATAAAAAGTGTCAGATGGTACATTAGGTTGCAATGTATCTATGTGGAATATAACATAATGAGGCCAAAAGAGAGTTGTTTAGAAATATCTTTTGGAACTGGTTACCTAACTCAGCCAGTGTTGACAGCTCCAGGGCTATGCATCTGAAATCTCCACAAAGGAACATTATAAAGTACAGCTAATATCCTCAATATTAATAAGCCTAAAAGTCTTCACATTGTCCTCAATGTTGACAAAAAAGCTGAAATCATCATGTTTCATTTGAACACGAAGACAGAAAATCTATGATTTTTAACTTCTACTCTTGTTTAGAAGTTGCATGTTGCTAAAAAACAAAAAAAAAAAGAAAAAAGAAAAGAAGGTATCTCATTCGTATAAGTTCACAGATCAGTAACATTTCAGTTACATGTAAATTGAGGTTTATTCTTAAATCCCTATAACTCCATATATTTTATGTCTGGGGCTTGAACATTTCTATTACATTGAGTGTTTACGATAATTCTATATGGTAAATACTGTTAAAAATAAGGAATCAATCGCAGGGAGCTTGGTGATTTTCCCCAGATCATATTCATGGAGCTGGTGAGCAGAAGAGCATGGATTGGAACCCAGTCAATGAGTCTTCATAGCCCATAGCTTATGCTAGCAACTTAAGATACTCAAGAGTTTTAGCTGTGAGTTTCAGAACAAAGGGAAAGAATTCTAGCTTTATATATTTTCTACGTTTTATTTTGTTTTCCACAACTCTATACACATGCCCCAATGTCTTGAGCATAATAGGTGTTCAGTGATAATTATATTAAGTGTTTTGCATGTATTAATTCACAATACTAAAGAGAAAAAAGTAATAGTTACTATTATTTTCCTTTTCATATAAATAGAAGTACTTTAAAAGATTATTGAATGGCTCAATGTCTTACAGCAGAGCTAGTCTGGTCATAGAGCTCACTATATCTTAATGACAGCCAATATAGCATCCTTGAGTTATTGTCATCAGCATTGTTATCATATCCAGAGACAAGTGTATAGTCACTTCCGGATTTAAATTATAGTTGTCAAGACATGTCTGCTCTTCAAGCTATCATTTGGACCATAGCAGGAATTAAGTTACATGGTTCTTTTTTTTATGCCTCAAGGTTCAACTTATGAATCATTACTTCCCACAATGAATATCGCCAACTCTTACTTAACTAATTCAACAACTTATAGGTAAAGAGTATAAATGCTTTTTGTCATCCACAACTTTTCATAGCAATGACACTGTTATTTAAAAATTGGTGACATGCTTGATGGCATGGGTATCTGTATATTCACCACTCACTCATATGTACTGTGTAACTGCTGGGGAGCAGGCCCTGTGCTAATGAGGAGAGTAGTGATCAAAACCAACAAGAGGGCTTAGTATCCAGGGCATTCAACTGGCTTTGACTCTCAATTAAGAGTAATGGCAGCTTCCACGTAGACTATGGAAAAACGAATTCCATGTTTCCATCTCTCCAAATTCTGGCTCTTCCAGGATATTTTTAACATCACATTCCAAGAGAGAAGACATTACATTTTATTAAAATCTACTAGAGGCCCAGTGCACAAAAATTTGTGCACTCGGAGGATGTCCACCTGCTGGCTTAGGCCCATTCCCAGCCTCTCCTTTTTTTTCTTTTTTTTAAATTCTGGAATTTATTTACCTTCTATAATTGAAACTTTGTGGCCTTGAGTGGAGCTCAGAGCCAGCCATGGCAGGTGGGAAGCTTGGCTTCCTCCATCACTGGGGCAACCAAGCCTCCTGCTTGCTTCAGCTCTGTGGCTGCCAGCTGCCATCATGGTTGGGTTAATTTGCATATAGTAGCTCTGATTGGCTGGCGGGCATGGCTTACGGTGTAGCGAAGTTATGGTCAATTTGCATGTTTGTCTTTTATTAGTGTAGATAAGGGTTTACTTCCAGGTACTATGCTAAGTATACTATATGTATAAACCTTACAATTTGTTAATTTAATAAATATTTATTGAATGTTTTTTACATGCTATGTATATGGTATTTGCCTTTAAAGATCTTATATAGTGAAGAAACAGTTTAGTGAACCTCCTTAAAATTTGGAATTATGTCTTAGAACACATATATGCACTGACTGTTACTCATTTGTTCATTGAACAAATAATAATTGAGCATCTACATTTCAGTACTCATTCTAGAATGTTGAGTTAACATTCTAGTAAAGAAGACAGACAATAAAGAAATATATATAAAAATTCTGATAGAAATATGTGCTTTGAAAGAAAAGATATCTATGCTTTTAGAGTCTGGAGTAGGAACCCTTTATGCAAATGAAAATAAAGTAGTGGTGCTGATAATTATTTTTATTTATACATTCTAGAGCATATAGGTTTAGCTTTTACAAGATATAAGGAGTATTAAATTTATTAACTTGGCATCTTGTTTAAAAGCAGAGATTCTGGATTCATATTGCCAAATTAAAATCTCTGCTCTTGGACAGATCAGTAAGTTCTCTGCACCTGAATTTTCTCATTTAAAAGTGTGGATAATAATAGTACTTACCTAATATGGTTACTACAGGAACTCAATTAGGAAACATAAATAAAAAGCTTAAATCAGTTCCTGCACTAAGTCAGGACTATATAAATATTAGTTGTTGATGTCATAAAATTAGGGTGTTAGGCTATATGTTATTTTAATCTTTTTCTATTAAAATCTATATGATAAGGAGATAATGAATGTTCTTTCATTATTCTATTTTTAAAGTGCTTTCAACATTTTATGTGATTTTCATAAATTAAGGTGTGAGAAAAAATTATAAACAATTATATTTTCTTTCTAGTAAAACAACATAAACTTGACTTGATAATATTTTATATTATATTAAGAATATAATAAGTATTATTATTCTATTAAATATAGTGATATCATTGCCTTTCGTAGATATTTTAGAATTCTAAAAGGCATTACAAAGCTCAGGTAATCTCAGATTCCTTTCTTATTTTAAACTTGCTTGTGCTATAATAAATTAGGGAATTTAATTCTTCTTCCACTAGAGTATTCATAAAACAAGTTGACAGTCTTTAGAAATCATTCTAGATTTTCAACTGTCAAAATCCTCATATTGATGTAATGTGAATGATTGAGACTTTTCTAAAAAAAAATTTGTTCTCCCTCTATCTCTCTTAAAGTTGATCAAAAGTATTACCAGCATAGTAGATATTAATCATAAATTCAAGATCTCTTTCTACCTCAAGGAAATATTCACATAGCATTTACAGCAAAAGATTTTTTTGTTAAAAAAGTGCTTTAGCTTCCCCCTTAAGATGAAGGTATGGCCTTCAGTTTTGGCGTAAAGTACATCATATATTCCATGGACAACTGCTTAAATTTTCCTCCAACTTTTCGAGATGCTTTAAATAAAAAGTTTCTCTTATAAATTACAGTATTACAAAGGTCACCACACACACACACACACACACACACACACACACATACACACACACACACAATCATCTCTGGAAGCCACGCTAAGTCATTATAAAATAAATAGTATGCTATACAGAAAGATGCAAATAAATCATGTTACTTATATGCTTGTTTTGATTTTAACTTCTGAAAGAATTCAAGTGCCAAATATTACAGTTCAGATCTTACTCTCTCGGCTCCAGTTTTAACTTTTTATTTTGCCTCCCCTATCACTGTCCTTTCCATATATGAAGTTTAGATTTTGCTCTTGCAGAAAAAAAAAATGTCTTTTACATTATCACACTTTCAAATGTACTCACCTCACTGACTCTAGATGTAAATTTCTAGAAAGTCAACCTCATGTTTTCAATTTCCTTAGCATTTTTACAAAGTGTTTTTTTAAAAGCATGAACTCAACGCATTTATTATAGTGATAAACTGATTCTATCCATGTAACTTAGCTTCCTTCTTCCTCCTAAAACAACCCTATATAAAAATTAATTGGCAGTTTTTAAAATAGATTGTGTGTGTTATTGACGTACAAGACTACATGCACCCCAACATTAGGGAACTCACTCAGCTCCCAAACTTAACGCCACCGTGTGGTGAAATAGTGTAATTGATGGCATATATTGCATTCTCTGCAGACTTGTAGGGTTTTCATGAACACCCTTGTAGAGAAGCGCTCGAAGAGTTCTGGTGTGAACGTGGGAGCACAAGCACATGGATCACAGGACTGATATTTTACATGAGTAGTTCCTGCTCACTCAGGGGAATGATCATAATGCCACCTGATAACTCCTGGCATTTATATCTATTGGCTGTTTTAAATCATTAGCACAATTAAATGTTCATGAAATGCAATGTTCTCAACTACTACTTGGCAGCAAGATGTGGTAAAGCTGAAAACGGAGGTGTTCATTCTGTGTCTGTGGCCAATCCGGCAAGCCGTCGGGTCTTACACCTCCATGGCATCTGTGGCCTAAATGCAAAGAAGATGCACACGTGTGTGAGAGGTGTCTAAAAGCTGCCTTCCATGCAGGATAAATTAATGTTTGGCCTTGGGGATATCGGGATGTCCTTCAATTGCCTTTGAGGTTTCTCTCCAACTAAAGCAGGCTCTCTGTTTTACTTTTTAAAGAATGCTTATACAGTTAAGGACAGTCTTGTAAGGTCTTTAAAACAAAGTATTAAGATGATGAATGAGGGTTATCAAAGAGGTGAATTAAATGACAGCAGGAAGTTGCAGGGCTATTTTTATCTGGTACTCATTCCTATTCACTCTATAAATATTAATACATTCTGCTGTCTACAGCATGAAGATGACCACAGTCCATTTTTTCTGAACCAACTTCTTGAATTTATGCACATTTGGAAAATATCCAGGTAAGACATTTTATTGCTGTTCCAAGGCTACCTTCTGACTGAGTCCTCAAGTGCCAAATCACAATGTTTCTCAAGGCATTGTAAAAACCATTCTTTCACTAGTACCTCAGAAGCATTGTACTTTTAATAGGTACCTCCTTTTGGCAAATTCTGTTAATAATTAGCTATTCCTCACAGCTATTCAGATACATTTGAAGAGCTGCTAACACCTTCCAGAACAATCTAACATTCATTTTTGAAATATCTCTGCTACCACTTATTACATTTTCAATAATTTTTTTTCACATTCATCTTGTGAATTTGAGTTTGCACGTGTCACAAATCTCTGTATAATGGCATTGCCATACTTTGAAAGTCACCATCTCCTGCTTTAAATCCCTTTCTGGAAATCTCTGAAAATACGTAGTATGTCACAAAGGAATGTGGATTCAAATTGGAAAACTCAAGTGGTAATGAATGAACATATCTTAATTGATTCCAATATTTTAATGTATGCATGTGTTATTTGAAAAATTAGACCAAACTCAGAAGCTAACTTTGGAGAAGATGCCAGTGGTACAGCATGAGTTTATCTGAAATGAATGCTTTTCTAAGCTGAATGAGCAGATAATGGAGTGTGGGAGGTATAGTTCTTAAATCTCTAAATAAAAGCCTGCTGTAAAAATAAGATGAGTTAAAATTGATTTTAGTAACTATCACTTCATGGCATTCTTACAGGTTTTGCATACATTCTCTCATGTGATTCTGCAGTTCAGGAATTTGAAGTTAAATAACAACAGGCCTAAAATCACTTATTTCGTTAGTGGCAGGACTGAAATCAATACTGTCTCTGAAATTTGCAAAGGCCATATCTTTTATTAAATTATTCTGTCTTTCCATGGGTGCCTCTCCTTTTTCTGCCAAAATGTCCAGCCTAACACCACATGATTATATAGAATGAGTAGGATTATAGAGGACTTCCGACAGGTGTCCTGTGAAGCCCACGGCACAGTCTCTGTGGTCACCTGGGCTGAGTGTGTCCCTTCTGTTGGAGTTGAGTCTTGATTGCTGTTGACATGTCAATGGAAGGGACTGACCCACAAGCAGATTGGTTGTGAGGACTGGCCTTGACTACAGTGAAGGAGCTGTTGTGCAGGGGATGACCCTACAGAGCAGGATTCACTTTATCAGTGCTCAGAGACCTGCCCAGTCTGCCCTATGGGTGTCATTCATTGAGGTATTTGGGTAGTACTCAGGTATGGTCAGAAGCTGGCCACCTGGTATATTGGTTCTGGGGCCTCCTGAGTGGAGCTGGGTGCAGGCCAAGGTCAGCCATTGCCTGCATCCTGGGGTCACTTGGTGTGTGCTACAGAGTGATCTGCAGTTATCCTTTTAAAAGCTACTTTGCTAGAGAATCAAGAGAACTCGTGATAAATGTGCTAAAGTTAATATATTTTCCCATCCAATTTTAAGCGAAGTTTTTTTTTTCTTTCCAGACAGTGCCTCTCAACAGTAATCAAAAAATATGACTCCTACACCTGCATCCTGGGGTCACTTAGTGTGGGCTACAGAGTGATCTGCAGTTATCATTTTAAAAGCTACTTTGCTATAGAATCAAGAGAACTCGTGATAAATGTGCTAAAGTTAATATATTTTCCCACCCAATTTTAAGCAAAGTTTGTTTGTTTTTTCCTTTCCAGGCAGTGCCTCTCAACAATAATCAAAAAATATGACTCCCACCTGAAATACCTATTGAAAACCCAGGTATTAACTTTTGTTAATTTATCTATCAATTCAATAAGCATTTATTAAGCATCTACCCTTTTTCTAAAACTTTGCAAGTTTCTTAAGATATGAAGATGAATAAAACGGAGTATCTACACTTGAATGGCTTCCATTCTATCATGATAAAACAGACAAGTAA